GGGTGTGCGTGAATTAATTTTCCATTAATTTGGAGACATACTTCCTTCATGATTGACGCTTATGTTTCTAAGCTCGTTGTGCCTTGGCACTAGTAATTTTAACGTTATTCAAGCTATGTACTGTAGGATGTTTGCGGAAATATTTTTCTGCTTTCTTCCTACACTTTCTTGCTTGTTTGCATTCACTGGTAAACCATGGCTTACGAATATGAGGATTTGCAGAGGACTTAGGAATTGTTTGGTCAGCAATATCATGGAGTATACTCGAAAACAACTGGATGGGATCTGGTACATTTCTGAAATCGTCAGGTTTCAATGTTTCACCACATACCATTTTATACAAACACCAATTAGCCTTAATAAAATTCCACCGAGATGAAGGAGGTTCATCATCCGGTTTTACAGCATTCAGTACAGTAGGGAAGTGATCAAAGATCACCATGCACTGACCATTCAAATACATTGTAAACATTTGAATCTGCGAGGGACAGATCGAGGGCAGAATAGGATCCAGTTGCAGGATGTAAATAGGTGTTTGAATCATCATTAAATACGCATAAATTATTATCAGAAATAAAATCTTCAATAACTTGTCCTTTATTGTTTGTATTTGTACTTCCCCATAGAGGGTTATGCCCATTTAAATCGCCCATGATGCTACAGGGAGCTGATCATATAGATTCTAAAGATCAAATTGTCTAAGAGCAGATGAAGGTGGTATATATAAAGAGCACAAAAGTAAATGCAATGTGCAAGGTGAGGCGAATAGCAACAGCTTGAAGGTTAGTATTTAGATGAACAGCACTGTGAATTACGTCCTGCCTGACTAAAATAGAAGCACCTCCAGTTGCTTTGTCACCAGAAGGAGGAAATGAGTGATGACAATTGTTCCGCCTTAGGTCAAATTTATCAGCTTGTTTAAGATATGTCGCTTGGAGACATAATGCTGACGGTTTATACTCTTGAACTAATAAGAATATGTCATTAAAATTCTTTCTGAGTCCTCTGCAATTCCATTGGATCAAATTCATCAAATTCACCGAATGAGTCATGGTGGCTCAATTGGAGACCTACCGCGGGACTGTGAGAAAGACATATTCCTTCCTCTGTCCTGTGATGGTGGAGTCACCTCTATGTCCAAAGCACCAAACGAGTTATGTTCAGTTATCTCTGAAAGAGAGGGTGTCCTAGTTTTTGTTTGTCTTTGAAGTTTTTTTCCTTTCTTTCTTAGACAAGTTAACAGCATCTGGTGTGACAGTAAGTCGTTCATTCTGATCCACAGTCTGAGTCATTGTTTGGGTTTCTGAATATGCTGATCTGGGTTTGATGATTGAAGTGATTGTAACAGGCTGATCTGAATTTATCCATGTGTTAAGTCGGTCTGACACGTGATAGAAGCAGTTTGTATAGGTCGACTGACGGCAACAGAGTAGGTAAGAGTTGAGGGAGATTTCGTATGGTTGAGGTAGAGTTTCTTTGCATCTGAAAATGAAAGGTTATTGTGGTACTTTAGTTTGACAATTTCTGACTGTTGTTGCCATTCAGGGCACGACTTGGACGAGGCAACATGACTGCCACCACAGTTTGTACATTTAATGTTGTTTTGATAGTCAGGGTTTTCATGTTTGTTACCACAACAATGCCACACCACAGAGCTCTGACATAATTTAGAGCCGTGTCCAAATTTCTGACATGTATAGCAGTGGATTTGGGACAGACACTTTCACTCCGATATTGAAATAACCAGCCTTTATGGACCGTGGAACGGACGCGCAGGTATAGGGATTGGTATTGGGATTGCTGATAATACCATCAATTCTTTTGGTGAATCGTTTAACTGATGTTACACCTTGATCTTCTGGCTCTGCTTGTATATCCAATTCAGTCATGTCGGACAGGCAACAATACAATGTCTCGAACAATACCCCGACACGTGTTAAGTGTCCTGTGAGCAGACACTGACACATTAGCAAATGTAGTCACAGATAAAAGATTTAGAGACTGTTGTCTTCGGTCACACTCCACAAAAAGAGAGCCAGTCCGAAGACGAGGAACATTTCTTACTTCCCCACAAATTCCAAAGATAGCTTTTGAGCAAGCAAAGGGATTTAGTTTTATTGGTTCATGATCAGAAGCCTCAGGAACCGGGACCAGGCATATATATTTTGTGATTTGTAGGTAAACATATTGAATTTGGGTGTCAACATCACCAGATTGGCCCATGAGCCATCGCCTTCTGGCATGAGCCTCAAGGCAGAATTATACATAAAAATAGTGTATTCCAAGACCACACAAAACATTTCTAAAATATGAAAGATGTGCAGAAATAATTTCATGCACAGGGCTTGGCATGACCAGCCGATTGATAGAACTGGCCCCATTCTACCACCTGTCTAGGTGAAGTCAGGGTCAAAGTGGTGTAATGGGCAAAGTAACACTGAACCACCAGAATCCCTTCCTCCATCGACACAGGAGCGCAACCCACGGCAAACAGGTTGCCCAATTTAGTCGCCTCATACGACCAGCAATGGGGTGCTGAGGACACATTCTACCCCGGGTCCACACGGGGAAAGAGCTATTAGCGTAACTCAGCAATCACCACGGGGAGGTTGCTCTTCACGAGTGCCTACCCCCATTGTGATGTATAGGCCCCCATTCTGATGCCAGGGCCCTTTATTATGATGACTGTTGCCCCCAATTACGATGCCTGTGCCCCCATTATGATACCCCCTTTTTTATGCCAGGGCCCCCATTGTGATGTATAAGCTCCCATTGTGATGTATGTTACCCCATTATGATGCCTGGGCCCCCTTTATGACGTATGTTTGCCCATCGAGGTGAGGTGAGGTGAAATTGGGTTTAACGTCGCGTCCAAGATTATTGCACTTATATAGCGACGTGCATGCACGTGTATGTATGTGTGTGTGTGTGTGTGGCTGCTTGTACTAGTCCGGACTGATGCCGATTTATAGTGCTAGCTCACTGAGATACCATGCCGCAGTTTAACATGAATACCCCACTCAGACACAGTATACTGACCAGTCCTTGTTTTAGCCCCTTAATGCCGAGCGCCAGACAGGGTAACAACAAGTACAATCTTTTAACGTCTTTTTGTATGACGCGGCCCGGGATCGAACCCTGGACCTTCCGCTCTCCGGGCGGACGCTCTACCACAAGATTTGCCCATCGATATGCCTGGGCCACCATTATGAAACCTGGGCCCCTTTATGGTTCCAGGGCCCCCGTTATAATGTATAGGCTCCCATTGTGATGCCTGGGGCCCATTATGATGCCTACTACCCCATGGTCCACAATTATGATGCCTGTTACTCAATTGTGATGTACAGGCCCCCATTATGATGCCTAGGCCCTTTCTGATGATGCCTAGTCTCCCGATTATAATGCCTTTGACCCCATTGTGATTTGTAGGCCCCCATAACGATGCCTGGGCCCTCCAATTTTTATGTCTTTTATGTGTTAGTTTGGTACAACAAAGAGGATGCTTACCAGACTAGAGGATTCAATAGAGTTATTATTCTGGCAAAACAAAGGGTGTGGCACAACAAGAAGGATGATTACCACACAGAGGATTTACTGGAGTTAGTCTGGCACAACAAAGAGGGTGCTTACCACACTAGAGGATTCAAGGGAGGTATTCTGACACAACAAAGGGAATGCTTGGGTGCTTACCACACTAGATGATTTAAGTCTGGGACAACAGAGAGTCTGGCACATCAAAACGATGCTTACAACACTGAGGATTAAAGAGAGTAAGTCTGGCGCAACAGGGAGGCTCCCACGACAAGAAGGACCCTTAAAACACTAGAGGGTTCAAGGGTGTTAGTTTGGCACAACAAAGAGGATGCTTACCACACTAGAGGATTCAATAGAGTTATTATTCTGGCACAAGAGAGGGTGTGGCACAACGAAAACGCTGCTTACCACACTAGAGGATTCAAGGGAGTTAGTCTGGCACATCAAGAAGGATGCTTACCACACTAGAGGATTCAAGGTAGTTAGTCTGGCACATCAAGAAGGATGCTTACCACACTAGAGGATGCAAGGGAGTTAGTTTGGCACGAAAAGGAAGCTGCTTTCCACACAAGAGGATTCAAGGGAGTCATCAATACTAAGGGACGCAAATTAGGCGTCTTAGACGTCTTGGACAACCTTGCTCCCAATATTCACAGACGAAAAATCAAATCGCCAAGAACAGGGCTTATTATGCCATACTAATTTGGATTAATACAAATTACCCACACTGGTCTAACCTATTTTGAAGACATATTTTGCGGCTGGTTGAAAAGAGGAAAGTGACTGAATGATTTGTTGGTTGTGACTGGTGTGCATGGCATGGAAATATGAGGCTTCTTGTCAAAGTTCACAAATTTAGCAACTCTGGCAACATGAAACTATGTCAGCATTTAGGCTCCTGTACGTATGACACGCTGTGATACGCATTTATATGTAAATACATATGTGTTTGATGGTGTGTGGTCAGTAAGTGAATGTTGTTTTACACCGAGGTTCGGCTATATCAGCAAATATTCGAATGGACAAATCAAACCATTCATTTGTAAATGATTTGGTTGGTTTGTTGTTTAACGCCGCACTCAGCAATATTCCAGCTATATGACGGCGGTCTGTAAATAATCGAGTCTGGACCAGGCAATCCAGTGATTAATATCATGAGCATCGATCCACGCAATTAGGATCGATGACATGCATCAACCCAGTCAGCAAGCCTGACCACCCGATCCCGTTAGTCGCCTTTTACGACAAGCATAGTCAACTTTTCCGGCAAGCATGGGTTGCTGAAGACCTATTCTACCCCGGATCTTCACGGGTCCATTTGTAAATGAAAGTGCCAAAAGAATGCATAGACGCAAGCGCGCACGCACTCACAGACACACACACTAAAACGTACATGTGTTTTCTTCAACATTTCAAAAGCTTTACTTCTTGGATAGATAAGGAACTATTTCAAATTGGATGCAGATTATTTATTTCTTCTCGGAACGTTACAGGCAAAACCAAGGAAGTCAAATCCTTGAGTACGAGGCTGTTACGTGAGTTTTAGCATCGAGAAAAGATTTCGTTCGTGAGCATACTTAGTGCATCGTCTTTCTTCATCATAATATCGTGCTTTTCCACTGGAGGAGAAGCAACTTCAGCGACGACGTTCTTGTCCACTTCAGACGTCACACACACCACATACACCTCAGCCCTTGCGTGCAAGTCACCAATGTTGCTGCGTACATCTTCTACGTTGCTGGTCATGCCGTCGGTGAAGAGCACAACAATGTTCTCAGCATCAGGTCGATCGCCGTTGGTCTCATTGAAAATGTCTGAAGTTGCCAATTTGATGGCATCACCTAGGAAAGTGTTTCCACCTCTAACTCGCTGTGAGCTGATGGCTGTTTGGACGTTAGTTTTGTTATCATATGTATTCAAATAGAACCCAACCTTTGCCGTTGCCGCAAAAGTCACAAAAGCAATCTGGTGTCGCTCTTTCCTTATATCAATGTTATTCACAAAATTCAGGACGAAAGTTTTCATCTCTTCGTAATGATTTATCACAACTGATGTAGAAATATCCTCGATGATCAGGAGGTCAACTGCACCACGGTTGCATTCTGCAACAAACAGTTTAACATGGATTAATAGAACAAATACGTACTCCTCGCGAGGTCATAATGCGACAGAAAGTACCTCGGCTCCGAACCCTATGGTGCTCTGACCGCCATGATGCCGTCAGAGAACCGATCTTCTTCAGAATTACTGGTGTATTGCCACCATGTTGTCTTTTCGTGTCATTTTTCTGTTATTGTGTCAGCATTGAAATGGCTCGCTGACTTGGTTGATGCATGTCATCGCATACCAATTGCGTGGATCGATGCTCAAGATGTCAATCAATTGATTGTCTGGTCCAGACTCGATTATTTACAGATCGCCGTCATATAGCTGGAATATTGCTGAGTACGGCGTTAAACAACAAACAAACAAACAAAGCAAACAGAGAACATGTGTGGGTAGCTTTAACAGGGGGATATCGTGTTTGTTTCCGGCTGGACGCAATGGTTTCAGCAGTTATTATGATTGATATTCACATTGATATTACCAAAACAGTAGTTTCCAGCATAGAAGTAAGAGAATATTCCGTGCACCAGTGTGTTCCCACACCTCTTGGTCTTCATCAGTTGAGGGTCATCACATTCGCCGTTCTGCGTTACTTGGCACACGACTTGAACACCTGCAATGACAATGGGCTGTGCACTATGGCAACTGGCTGTGGTTATATCCTTGTATTAAGTGTGAGTGAGTGAGTTGGGTTTAACGCCGCTTTTAACAGTATTCCAGTTATATCACGGCGTGTCAGCTTAATGTGGGAGGAAAGCCCGAAGTGATGCCGGTCTCAGACGTTTACCAGGTCGGTGAAACCCACGAGCACGGGTATGGCGCTGACAAACCTAGAAACGTAATCGTGGCGAACCGGGATTCGAACCCACAATCATAGGTTTCTGGCGTGCCAAAGGGACGCAACTCTGCACAGCGAATCGCGGCGCCTTAGACGACTGGGCCACCCGTGCCCCCGTCCTTGTATTAAGTGACAGTTTGTCATGCCATGAAGTGTACCTATTGTTTAGCAACACCAGACACTGTGTCAATGAGAGTTACTTTACTATATTATTAAAGCAATATTACTACCGATACAGTATTTATTGGGAATTGAAACATTTTTTTTGTCATTCAAGGCTGTTTTACCAAGTTTGAATTACAGGTTTTGGTTTGTGCCAGATTTTTCACCAAGTTTCCATTTCCCGGTTTTGGTTTGTGCCGTTTAGTGAGTGAGTGAGTTAGTTAGGTTTAACGCCGCTTTTAACATTATTCCAGTTATATCGCGGCGTGTCAGCTTAACGTGGGAGGTAAGCCCGAAGTGATGCAGGTCTCAGACGTTTACCACTCCGGTGAAACCCACGAGCACGGGTATGGTGCTGACAAACCTAGAAACATAATCGGGGCGAACCGGGATTCGAACCCACAATCATAGGTTTCTGGCGTGCCCAAGGGACGCAACTCTGCACAGCGAATCGCGGCGCCTTAGACGACTGTGCCACCTGTGCCCCCTGTGCCGTTTAGGATTTTGGCCACTAATTTGGAAGTTGATAGCTGCGGTTATCGACAAACTTTGACTTTTGTGGGGATTTGAGGCACACAAAAATTGTGAGTATGAACGGAGAGTGCTTTGTTTGTAGCCAATATATATTATTCTGCAGGTTACATGTTGTAAAACGGTAAATTTTGTATATTTTAGCGGCAAAAGATTTCGATTGTTGTAACTGCTTAAAATCAGGAAAATCCCACAATAATATCTATACTATGTAAACAATGCTGTCTGCATTATAGTGTAACAATATAGTATTTTCATGCTAATATCACATTTATGTATTATTTCTTTTGTAGATTAATTTATTTTGAACTTTATTTTTATAAGGCTTTGTTTATTTTATTACAGCTTGTACCAGTTAATGTACCAGTCTCAGTCATTCAGTCAAAGTGAAGTTTGTAAACCAGTGAACATTTTGACAGTCGGTCTGTCGGTCTAGTTTGTACAGTCAGGACAGCGATCACCAGCAATATGATGTCAATGTTGAATTGGTCGGCCAAACTGTTTGAATGATGATTTGGAGTAATGTGAATTTTGTGACATTTGCGGTCAGTTGGAATTGTGACATGGCTCGAATAATGTGTTTAACAGCTGCGGTTGTTGAATAAATGACTGTGTACAGAAATATTGTCTTAAATTTCATTCCCTACAACAACAGTATTCCTGCATAGTATTCTATACCACTAAGCCTTGATCAAAGTCATTTGGGGCCTTTGCAATTAGTTAATGTTTCATTTGTTACAGGCATTATGTAGCAGGTGTAGATGACTTGACTTTAACGGGAAATCTAACCTATCTGACCTTCACACAAAATCCCTTCAAAATCATTTTAACCAGTTTGGAAACTTTAAGTATACGAGAACACCTGCTGTGAACACATTACACAGTCTATTTTTTTCCAAAGGAGTTCTTCATTCTTACCAAATGTCTTGTTGAACACACCTGGGCTCCAAATGGGGTTCTTTGAACCACATGCATTTCCCCGTGGTGCGTGATTAGGCATGGCTGCTCCTTTGGGTACCCCATACCACCCATGACGCAGCCTAATCACATCTGATTTCACCTTGTTACTAGGTCGTCGTTTATCCATGCCCGGTAACGACGTATGATTGATGCAAGGATCTTAAATGAAAAAAGTTTGCTGTTTGCTGGTTGCTATGATAATAACATCTGTATGTCCTAGTCTACTACACCTACAGTGAGTGGGGGTGGTCGGGTAGCCTACAGTCCGTTTGACTCCAAATGAGAACGATGAATTGCAAAATAACTCGAAATCCAGAAAAGTGTATGAAACATCAATACGGTACTTGACCATGGATACCCTGTACCCAACAAAATCTTAATTTTGTTTATTTTAAGACCCATGACGGATGAAGTTCTTTAAGAAACTATCATGTAATTCTGTATAGAAATGTGTACATGACACGTAGGGGGGACAAACCGTGGGAGGCACGGCGCAAGCACGCATGAACTGCACGTTCTGTGGTAGGGGAAATGACAGAGCGTTAGAGGGGCCGTCTCATGATAATTTCAGTCGCAATCTGACTCGCTCATGCCATAGATCTCGTCGTCGGAACTGCTGGTGCCTGAACCGACTGCCACTATTATAGGTTGGATTGTTGCTGGCCGTAGTCCATCTCGTGACCAATAACGTGGCTCTATCTCGTCAACGACTGTGGCCACACAACGCCTCCATGTTTCTACTGTTACCCGACCAAGGGATTCCTTTACGAGTTGTTCAACGTCTCGTAATTTGAACGTTGTGTTCGATCGTCCAACGTCACCCTTGACGATGCCCCATACCAACTCGATTGGATTCAGGTCGCAGTGATAAGGTGGCAGTCGTAAGACAGCGTGACCCTGACCCTTGATGTAACTGTCAACTTTATACACGGGGTCAGGTTTCATAGTTTTGATGATTTCATAGAGCTGTGGTTTCGTCGCTCGAGAAGGAAAGGTAATGTTCCTCCGTTGCAGCCAAGTAACCATGTCTCCTTTACGGTTATTAGAGGTTGGAGTCTTGCTTTCTGGATCCTGCACACTATGATACGGTGCATTGTCCATGACAATGAGAAACTTGGTAGGCAAAGCAGGGACTAATTTATCTTTCACCCACTCCAGAAATACATTGCCGTTCATTTCTGTGTGGTAGTCCCTGTTGTCTTTGGCCTTGGCTCTAAAGACGAGGTCACAGTCTGGGAGAAAACCCTGACTAGCAGAACCAGCATGGAGAACTATGAGTCTTTCACCCTTTCCCATTGGTAACTTTTTACCAGACTCCTTACAGTCACCACTGGGTACCCACTGACTGCTGGCCGTGTGTGACGCATTTACCCATGTCTCATCTGAGAAGACGGGCTCATATCCTTCTTCACGTTTCTGCTTGATGGTACGAAGGTAATGATTTCGGAGACGAACAATGTCAGAACGTTCACACAACACAGCCCTATTTTCTCCAGTTATCTTTTTGTATTTGTAACCAAATGTATGCAACAGCTGCCATAGTTTGTACTTTGTAACACGTAAATCATGGTCAGTTTTAAGGTGTTTCTTCAAAATTCTTAGGGACAGGAACTTATTTTCAGAGTGCAGTTTAACAATTGCACGTCTGACTTGATCCCTCTGAAAACTGTCTAATTTATCAACCTTGCGTGGTTTTGACATGTTCCCTACCTCCTTGGCCTGACTATTTGTATCTCGTCGACTAACAACATTTTTAAGTTTCTGAGGGGACATACCAAGAGCTTTTGAAGCTCGTTTCAAGAATTTATTAATTGCATAAAAAGGCTTTGCTCTTTCTGCTTCACTTCTAAAGAAATCATACACATTCAACATCAACTGTTTAACATCTGCTGAGTAGCGCATCTTGTCATTGAATGAACACGGTCACTGTGTAGCACGTGCAGACCGTGCTTGCGCTGTGCCTTCCACGGTTTGTCCCCCCTACGTGTCATGTACACATTTCTATAAAAAAAATTACAAGAATTTCATCTGTCATGGGTCTTAAAATACACAAAATTCAGATCTTGTTGGGCACAGGGTATTCATGGTCAAGTACCGTATTGATGTTTCATACACTTTTCTGGATTTCGAGTTATTTTGCAATTCATCGTTCTCATTTGGAGTCAAACGGACTGTAGTGGTTTAAGCGTTTGCTCGTCACGCCAAAGACCCGGGTTCGAATCCCGACATGGGGACAATGTGTGAAGCCCATTTTCTGGTGTCCCCCGCCGTGTTATTGTTGGAATATTGCTAAAAGCGGCGTAAAACCATACTCATTCACTATAGTGAGTGATTGTGTTAGTGTGAGCTGCTTTGGCCTTCACACATTGTACCCATGTGGGGATTCGAACCCGATCCTTCACTGTGACAGAATTATATTTTATCCACAAGTCTATCCGACTGCCCCTGCTGTTTCTTCATACATTGGTATTTCCTAATGGAAGATCCGATTAAAAGTTTGGCGAGGCTTTGGATTTTTCGTTTGAGACAGATTATTTGTTCAGACAGTGCTGGAAATATCTGGAAGGAGTACACACACAAACACGCACGCACGCACGCGCACGCTAACACACACACTGAATGATGTCAATAACGTTTTACTTTGCTTTCGGTGTTTTCAAATACACTGTCCGTGGATTGTATAGGCCCCCAATTATGATGCCTGGGCCCTGCGTTATGATATATATTGAGTTGTTCCTGTGATTTGATTCTGTGACCCCCTGTGAGCTGGGTTTTTTTTATAAATTTTGTTGACAACCCTGTCGAGATTCGGAAGTAGAATCTTTCCCTAGTTCCCCAGGACTTCTCGTAAGAATGTAAGATCCGGGGTGAAATAGGTCTTCAGCAACCCATGATTACCGTACAAGGCGACTAGGCTTTTCGTAAAAGGCGACTAACGGGATCGGGTGGTCAGGCTCGCTGACTTGGTTTGATGCATGGCATCGTCTCTCATCGTATCATGTAGTCAATCACTGGATTGTCTAGTCGAGACTCGATTTTTTTACAGACCGCCGTCATATAGCTGGAATATTGCTGAGTGCAGCGTTAGCGACCAACCAACCAACGGAAGAGTGTTGTGTTGGCTGCTCCTCCAGGACTATCCCTGGTTGTGCTTGTCCACATTCAATTGTCTATTTATATCTACTATGCATCAGAAATAACGATGTATGCGATGTTAAACAACATTCAAGCACTGTTATTGAACATTTACATACCCCCTTGACACGAAGGACCCGAATATCCGTCCGCGCAATTACAGGTAAAACCGTACCCGTCTTTAATACAGGTACCTCCATTTTGACAAGGATTCGTGTAACAAGGGTTGGGTTCTGAAACAAACATAACATCACATACATAGTTGAATAAAGTACATGATTGGTTGGGTCACCGCGGAAAACCTCGAACATGCAATTGTTCACTAACGGTGACCAGCGCCTTTTTGCCTGTTTCCAAGACATTTGCCATTCCTTCAATAGTATCTGCATCATCGTGTATGCAAGATTTGCTGCTACTAGACATGATGTGTGTTGCCAGCTCTTGCAAATGATTAAGGATTTCACAAAAAGAATTATGTGTTCCAATTAATGACGCAACTAACCCTTAGTCAGGTGTTACCACAGAGAGTTTTTATTCTTATCACGACATGCTGTGCGTCATTTCCAAATCTTACACGCTAATCCTGCACAAGACAAATGGTGCATCTCGAGTCATGGATTTATGGCGTCACATGGGTTATAGAATATGGAATTTGAAATAAATGTGAATATTTGGACAACTATAACATAATCACCGAAGCAGAAAACACTCCCAACAACATCAGTTTTCAACCTGTATGCTTCTGTACCACCCGAGCAAGGGTATGTCGGTATATGCATTTTCTTGAAACAAGTGCTTGTCTCATTTTGAAAGCATACAACAGATGTTGCGCCAGTCATTTCTGAAAAAAAACACTGAAGAAATAACCATTGTAGGAATTATATGTACATCAGATTACCAAGCGACTATCAAAAATTTGGATTCCGAATTCACCATTTGTTGAATCGATACATTCGTTAATTTTTAACACGGACCTTTATGTTTCGTTCATATAAATCGTATTTAGATTGATTTTGAATGAAATATAGGAATCATAATTTATTTTGATTCAAACGTAATACCTCAAAAAGTATGTTTACCAAAATTAATTATATGTCTGTCACTAATAACTTGGAATCATTCCTATATTCATGTTAATGTAGTGCATTATTTCACATTTGATAAAAAGACGGAATATATACAGTATAGTAAACATCATCTGTATCTCCGTAAGGTAAAGGAAACACGAAGTGTCTTTTGTTACCTTTCCTCCAGATAGGATATCGGCCACCACATTGGCCAACGCCAGGTGGGTAGCCCAAAAGAAGCCCCATGTCATTTGCTTTGTAGGCGGTTTCGAATGTTTTGAATGATTTTGAGTCATCCATCTCATTACCAATACCTAAATAAGGCCATCGTCTGTGGATGTTCGGAACCCTTTTTGTCATTGGACAGCGACCTGAAATGAGTCATGGATTTGGAGTTTGGAGTCATCTTGTCATTTGAAACATTTTCTTTTAATTTTAGCATCATAGAGTCTCCTGAATGGTGTCCGATACATAACTGTACACTGGTAGAAGAGAAACTGGGAGGCCAGCGTTACGTTTCGAGGTGGTCTGCAAGCTCTGATATTGTACCTTTGTGTCTTCTGGACATGTAGGTTACGCATGTAAAGCTTCCTGGTGACAGGCCCAGGACTGCCAGACCTCCTGTCTCTCTTCCGCCCAGTCTGCCTGACTCATCATTGGACTCATCATCACCCTGGTGACTATCATTTTTCTACAGCCAAAACTCCTTGCGACGTGATCATGCGTTTCACTTCAAACTCAATTGTTTGGTTGTGTTTGGGCGATTGATTCTCTATTATTTGGTAACACTTTTCGGGTTTTGGACCCAACGTGTTCAAATGTCAGTTTGATAACGTTTCTCCGTAAGTTTACATCAATACTTATGATATTTTTGTCAATCATCCACAATCTTAGTAATTGAAAAGTACATTCCTTGAGCAGTTGTGAGTACAAATAGGTCAAGTTGACAAGTTTTCTGCCAATCTAAAGAAACTGCGCACTGGGCCTTTGCTTCACATTGGTCTTTAAATTATATATAAACATGTTTTATTGTACTGTATTAGTGAACAGTGAGAAGGTTTTATTATTCTTTCCATTTGTTGAATTTTAATTTGAAAACAAACAAACTCAGCTCTCTTTTATGAAGAAAAAAACATGACTCTACCCAAAAACAGCCGCCCAGGCACGTTGAACGACTGGGTCACCCGATTCCCAGTCTCTATCTACAGGCGCGTTAACGACTGAGCCACCCGTTTCCGAGTCTCTATCTACAGGCGCGTTAACGACTGAGCCACCCGTTTCCGAGTCTCTTCGCATGAGCACCTTAAACGACTGAGCCACACAATTCCTCATCCCGATATGAGGGCATGACTTAAGAAGACCTACCACTTATACCGGAGGTGAAGGATAACAGCACCACCGTGAGAAGGACAATGTCCATCATTTTCTGCAACAGAAGGAAAACAGTAAGCTTCCATTAGGAATGAACCACACATACATCATTAGTTGAAACAGTTTAGTTGAATTGTATGTATTTATAAAGACGGTCTTTTGAAAAGACAATTAGTAATTCATCTGTATTCATCCCATGATCACTTGCATGACCGTTTCTTGAGTTGGTTTGTTATATTGTTTGGTTTAACACAACACTCAGCAATATTCCAGCTGTATGACGGCGGTCTTTATATAATCGAGTCTAAACTAGTCCATTCAGTGACTGGATGAGAACCTATCTACGTAATTTGGATGCAATGACATGCAACAATCTAGTCAGCGAACCTGGCCACTCGATTCTGTTAGTCCTCCTCTAAAGACCAAGCGTAACCCGGATCGTAACAGGGTTTGTTAGGAAGATAGTATGAGAATCTTCGAGTGTCGTCAAGGGAAAGTGTTGGAATGAATCTTGTATGAATGACGTTCCAATTGCAAACTTTCCCTTTATGTCGAGCAATGATCCAAATGCTGAAGGCTTTGGTGACTACTTTTTAGGTACAATCGAATGGTTTTTTTCTACGAAGATTTCAAAGAGCGTAATACGTCTCTTGCTCAATAATTGTTTGATCAAGATTACAACATTCAAGGTATCTGTAAGGCCTTCATAAAGGGATATGGTAGACACGTGGAGCGCATTTTCTCATTTGAGGAATCAGTGCCAGTCCGAAGCAATTCCGTATTTTGACTTGTACAATATGTTGCGTGATTCTTCAGGGGAACAATTGACTCTCGCATGTGTTTGTGACGAGGCTGGAAACGCTCACCTTCTCGTGAGCACCTGGTGACATCACTATTTGATAGTGATTCATAAACACATGATCATGAAATAGTCGGAAGCGGAAGCGTACAATTGATTCTGCTTTCAGCAGTGATTTTTTAAAGATATGGAAATGACATTGTCGGTCGTCTTCAGCAACACTAGCATTCTCATTCCAGCAGTATCACAGGTTAGACAGCACGGATAAAACCAGCAAGTGTTTTACATGACTAACGTCTCACGTCGTTCATGTATTATGAGACCGCCTCCGTGGTCTAGTGGTAGAGCGTCCGCCCGGAGAGCGGAAGGTCCAGGGTTCGATCCCGGGCCGCGTCATACAAAAAGACGTTAAAAAATTGTACTTGTTGTTACCCTGTCTGGCGCTCGGCATTAAGGGGCTAAAACAAGGACTGGTCGGCTCGGAGTCAGTATACTGTGTCTGAGTGGGGTATTCATGTTAAACTGCGGCATGGTATCTCAGTGAGCTAGCACTATAAATCGGCATCAGTCCGGACTAGTACAAGCAGCCACACACACACATACACGTGCATGCACGTCGCTATATAAGTGCAATAATCTTGGACGCGACGTTAAACCCAATTTCACCTCACCTCATGTATTATGACAGGCAATCGAGCAGCTCAGAAAACCGGATTCATTTCTAATATTCTCTTGTGACATGCATAGGTTACCGAGGAACCATTCTACTATGTCACAGATACCCCACGGATTCTCGGGCAGTGTATTTTATTGTTTAACAATGATTGCAACTGTGTTCCATTGTTTCTGTTGAGATTCGGTAGACGCTCATTGCAATGTATTTGGACAGTGATTACTTGCCAGGAATGAAGTACCATTTAATGTAACCACTTGTCAGGAAGTTACTATATTTAGATGCTTGTGTGCAAGCTCCTACCCAGCGCGTGACATCTCCGTCACACTCCGTTACATCGCTGCCACCAATGTGGGCGCGGCCATAACAAGAATCTTATGGTCAATGTGTGAAACAAAGACAGATGCTGCTTTGTGTTTGTCAGTAGTCGACGATTGCTGATTACAGTGATGGAAGTCGTCATGTGGCATTGACCGAAATCAACGACTCGTTGACTCAATGACTCGTTCGTACATTTCTTTTAAAAAGTAACATGTATGTTAATCCTTATTATGACACACAAACCACAATCGTTCTCACAAGTGTGATAGTGAGTTTAAGTTTAACGTCACATCGGCAAAAGTGTGATAGTGCGACAGTAGTCATTTCAACGTAAAACGTGTGTTGTCATGGTTTTGGGGTATGTAAAGATCGCAAACAGGGAGAATTGTGTATTTACAAAAGTTTGCCAATATCTTTGATTCCAAATTAATTCAGCACATGTACAAACCATAACGGCTTGGGTCATATTAACGTACGCAGCCATGGTGCAAAGTTGTTAGCAATTGGTTGGTGATTTTATTATTCTGTCTCTCGCTAAAGCTTAGGGCAGAGGTAAAATGATTCCACTCAGGACTCAATCTTCATATCCCATATTATTACCAACGAGGGCAAACATATAGGGATTCATTAAAATAATATGTGCCCTCGGGTCATATCACGTCACGAGACAACAGTCTATTACGGAAAGGGCCGAGTGGTGACGAATGTTGTTTCCGTCGTTCGGACGGCATGGTTGACGTCATTCGAATCTTATATTGTAACGTCAGAAATGACGTCACACTAGAAACGGTGTCATAGCTGAAAATTGTTGGTTATAACGGAATTTTGGTTCTTGATTTTCTGTTTGTATTGGTACGTTTGTATCTCCTATGGTTATGGTTATGGGGAAGTGATCACTTCCTAGTGGGACATCGTGTACTTCCCATTGAGTACTTTGGGCTAGATCAGCGGTGCATATAGTTAGGTCGATAGCCGACATTTTTTGGTTAATCTTATCGTACCTCGTGGGTTGGTTGTTATTTAGGAGTACTAGGTCGTTTGTTTCTATCCATTCGGATATTAGTTTGCCATTATTATCTATTTTATCATTTATGCTTCAGGTAGGATGGTGAGCGTTAAAGTCGCCTAGGAATATAGTGGATTTGTTGCTTATTTGGAGTAGCATATATAGATCCTAAGGTTGGACTTTTTGTTCTGCCCAGCGGTATATATTAATGATGTTTATCTTTTTGTTATTTAATGTGATTTGAATGCCGTTATCTTCTAGGTTTGGCGCGTCTATCTTTATATCTTCGTAGTTTATATCTTCCCTGATGTATATAATCAGTCCTCCTGCGGCTCTACCTATTTTTGGTTTAGCTCTATCTGTTCTAACTGAGTTATAGTTCGGTAGTGTGAATCTGGATTTTTTGGAGAATTTAGTTTCCTGAATACAAGCAATATGTGGGCCTTTATCTCGTTTAAATTTAGCTTTTAGTTCATGGCCGTGGGAGGTTAGCCCGTTGGCGTTCCACTGAAAAATATTTAGTCCTTCCATTATAGGGGTCGGGTGTTTGGTAATTTTGGATTTAGTTTTATTTTACTTGGTGAGTTCTTTTAGGTGGAGGTTAAAGAGGAAGAAGGGGAGATTGGTTAAGTTTAGATTGAATGCTACTTTGTGGAAGGATTTCATGCTTGCGTTTGGTGAGTTTTGACTATGCATGTAAGCTAGGAGTAAAGTGAGACTATTTAGGTTTTTGAAGGTAGTTTCATTTGTTTTAGTTGGAGTAGCTTCGATTGTTTCTTCTGTTGTGGAGTACTCTTCTTCATCAGTTAAGTTAGATTTAGCTGTTTAGGTTTCCATAGGGGTGGCTTACGGTGTGGAGGGTTATGTTTGGGCTTGCGGGTTGGGCGTAGCTGTGGATTTGGTGTTTGTGTTGTTTGTTTTTTTGTTGCCTTGTGTGGGCTGTAGAGTGTTTGGGTGAGGGTCGTGTTGTTTGTTTTGCATGCGGGTGTTGATGTTGTGGCTATGGGAGAGTCGGTAGGTGGTTGTGTGGCTGCATGTGTGTGTGAGGTGGGTGCGGTTTCTATGTCGTCGCCCCAGACAGAGCTTGCAGTTATGGGCGTGGTGTTTGTTTGAAGGATGGTGTTTGGGTGCGGTGTAGGGAGAAATGATTTTGATGCGGGTGATGCAAATTTTCGTGTTTGGATTTTGGCCGTTTCTATGTTAATGTGTTTGTTGGCCTGCTGAGGGTGTGTCTGTGTAGGCATTGGTTTGAAAATGAGGTGTGTTTGATGGATTTGCAGTAGATGCACCAGGGTGAGCATGTGCCCGTGCAGTCTGTTTGTGCGCATTTTTTACATTTAGTTTTTTGAAATGTGCATTGGGAGGCTGTGTGGTTATATTTGAGGCAGTTGGAACATTGTTTGACCTGTTTTATATAGGGTTTGACTTCTAAGTTAGTGTGGGCTCCGAAGGATATGTGTTTAGAAAATTGTTGACATCATTCGACAAATTGTGGTTCCGCTGCTGTTGCAATTTGCTGTCCTTATAGGTAAGCACTAAAATTCGTCTCTGTGTGTAGACATCTTCTTCGGTAATAAATAGAACATTATATTCCCGCTCAGGAAATACCGGACACTCTTGTCGTAAACATAGTATGATATGAACTCTCATATAATATCCACTATCAAAACACATATGTTGTTTTCCAGTATTATATAGTTTGATCTTGTGTTCAAAATGCTCTTAAATTATTTCGCAAATGCATGATTAGCTATATAGTATGTGGATCTGAAATTATAAACATCTCCTACCCTGAACCTGCCGTGATGAACGTTGATGGCATCTCTTTTGATGGCATTATAATTTTCTCAAATCGATATCACGAAGTGTTAGGTTTTAGTCCTCAGTATTTATGTAGAAAATATTCGAATGTTAATGCTAACACAATTGTCTTGTGGCTGTCCTTGTTGACATTTGTAACAGTGCTGTGCTGTGTTCTATTTTCATATTGTAGCAAACAGTGACAACAATGGATGGTCTGTGTGAAGTGTAACACTATGTAGTACAAGCCAAGCAACTATTGCGACCTGTCAACGTTTAAATGAAGGAAAGCCCAAAGTCACGAACGTCTTATATTGTTATATTTTTGCTTGTTTACGCTTTCAATTTCTGATTTTGAGATGGGTAAGTTTAAGCTTATTTCTGGGATTTTGTATTTGATTTATTAATTTAGGTCGGTTTTTGGTATTGGGCTTGCAGTCCACTTAGGGAGTCGGT